AAACAATATCATAAATCTCATTAAAATGTGTGTTTAATAATTAAATTTTGTTTTAAATGACGTTTTGTGTATAGACTGAAAGCCAACCATTATAAAAATGGGTGAGAACTATTAGGTTGACTTTCATGTGGTGTGTCTTGTTTAAACTGACTAACCTAAAATTATTTACTGACCGTTGTGCCACCTATTTATGGCACACTGTGAATTTGAATCTGGTTAACCTAAAATCACTTTGCCCACCAATATTATAAATTAAAGTAAATATTTTCCATTTTGCAAATAATAACCTAGGTATATGCATATAGTATACATAAAGTTCTCATATTGAATACTTTATTTGATACTAGAATAATTGAGAAATGTTAATGTGAAACCTCAATTAAATCAACAATTGGCTACTTCTACAAATATTTAAATATAAAATTCGAAAACACCCTAAAAATGTAGACGAGACAGAAGTCACGTAACCATATATTCACTTAATAAACATGTAATCTACAAATAGATCATACATTATACAAACTTTACCATCACTTTTATTATTCTCAATGCTATATCTCAGCGCATGTCTCATTCAAATTGTTTTCTTATAAAGAAACACAAGTAAAAACTTTAGTTAATTTACAAATCAAATATAAGCCCATTTTATTACCTTGTTAATTTTAATAATATTGATCAATCTTATCATATACCATATGTACTTATACAGTAATTATTTTTTTGAGGTTTGGTTTTATCAATGAAATAATGTTATACATAATTATTAATTAATATGTTAACGTGTAATAATTAATATTATCAAATTTATAAGTAATTTATAATTATTTTATTTACACAATACAGTAATTGAGTAGCAAAATATATAAATTACAATTAATTTAATATTATTATAAATAGTAAAAATATATAAATATATTTTTAATGATAAATATAAATGAAATAATTAAATTAATTACCGGTAATATAAAGTATAACACAGGAATATTTGGCACAACATATAATATTTACTTTTAAATCTGATTTAATAGTTAATATTACCATTAATTATATTAATAAACTATTAGAATAATACAGTTTACATTGCTTTAAAACAATTATAATTATTAGATAATTATAAATATTTTAAATAAATTGGCGTAATATTGCTCTTATGTCAAATATTATGGCTGTTTTGCGAGTCCGGGGTTGAAGTATAGTTCCCTTTCGACACAACATAACCTAATCTCAGGTCTCTGTTCTTTTCCCATCTCTTTTTCCAGTCGTGATTGAGTCTAACAATCAGTTTAAATATAAGTAATCAATTTATTCAATAAAATCATGCAATTTTTACTTTTAGTAGTAATTCTAACAGATTCTTATACCACGAGAACTGAGCGATTGTATGACTGAATGCTTGACCAAATTGTGTGAATCCTTCACTTGGATAATACCACGAAGGGATACCTAACGTTGGTGTGAATGCAGATCATAATACTGTGTATACTTTACTTAATAACTGATCAGCCATACCCTCAGCGCATGCATAGACAATATACGTCCGTTGATTCTCATTCGTCCAGTTCTTATCGATGGTCTTCATATCAATCACTATTTGACTGCCAATGAGTTTAAACACAGCGGGAAGTGGTGTTTCTTCCTCTTCTGTGACATTCAAATCAATGCAAATTATATAATAACTCAAAACCTAATTGTAATACAGTATGGATATATGCGTTCACTCACTGGTTCGGCAACAGTTGAATACAAATACTTTAGGTTTCTTTTTCAGAGAATCGCAGTTTTTCTCCGAAAACTTGTCCACAATCTTACTTATGGCCAATTCATCGCCGGGTGTCTCGCCGTAGCCTTTGATCTTCTCATCGCCTCCGTGTCCAATAAACATCATAATAAAGGCGTCGCCTTCGTGTTGATGGTTGGCCTCCACTTCAAGCACTGCCTCAATTTGGTCGGCCGTCAGTCTCGGATAAATCTCCACTTCGAAGTACATCTGTTTCAGTATTGACTCAAATCTTTGGGCCTCTTTGTGGAGAACATCGATTGTGACAAATATAAGCGCTCGTCCGCGTTGTCGGCCATCCATTGTATACCATCGCGAATGACCGGATCTTAATGTAACCGCTTTGACCACTTGGAGGTCTATAATGTCTTTGTATTTCCACGGCTTTTCCGACGTGTTGTATTCGCGCAACTGATTTGCGGCCTCGAGTTGACCCGATTTCTCCAATATATCGGCCAATTTAGAGCAGTGGTCGCGCTCTCGCGTAAACTCACCAAATATTCTGCACTTCTTTGCCGTTTCGTCTCTAAAATTCTGTATTAATTATGCATTCATTTTATTAGTATTTTATTTATCAGCTTTTATACGGTGAAAAAATATGCTATTAGTTGTTTATACCGGTAAATTATTTATACAATTAGAAAATATGTTAATTATATACAGTATAATTTAATTATACAAAAAATAGTGTTTTTTACATTACTATAACATGTATTAGTATAACATGTTACTGTAAATCCCTTGTTATAACCCGTTAACTTACTTTGACATCATCGAGCATATATTCACATGGATGCGTTCTCAACAAGTTCATAAATTGTGAGCTTAATGTAACGGTGCTAATATATTCGAAGAATATCTTATTGAACCTGATTCTGGGGCCCTCCTGTTCCATACCTGTCCACTATTATCACAGCACTTATATAATCGACACAAATATGTCTCGTCTCAGACAAACACAGGCAACAGATATGAAACCAAATGCAAACACACTTGTGATTACAAAATCGTAAATATTTCACACATAATGTGTGACACATTGAGTTGCAATTTTCAATGCCATTCATTTGCTGATAAAATATGTGTAAAATTACTAAAAATCTGCGTATTTTTGTGTTCAAATACTTATAATATTCATAATTATCTCGTTTTAAAGTTGTATGAATACTATTTTGTTTTGCAAATAATCGATTTAAATTAAAGTAAACAATTTCCGTTTATGAATTAATAACCTAGCTACCTATGAATATTATTGTTATATTATTGAAATTTTTTATTTTAAATAATGAAAATAATCGGGAAATGTTAATTTGAAATCTCAATTAAACAACAATTGGCCACTTTTTACCTATAAGTTATATGAGTATAAAAAGTTTTAAAACGCCCTAAAAATGCAGACAAGACAGAAGTCACGTATCCATACATTCACTTAATTTACATGTAATCTACAAATACCATGATAGATCATAAATTATCCAAACTTTACCATTAGTTTTATTATTGTCAATACTATTCTTAGGGCACTATTGTCTGTCTTAGGGCAATAATATTCTGTCCCATTCGAATCACATTAATAATGTGACATTATATTAAGCCTTTGAGGTTTTTTTTTATAAAATAACCAATACAAACTTTTTAAAACTTGTATTTTATGACCATGTTAACTTTAACAATTTTAATTAACTTTAATATAAATTCATCTTGTACAGTAAGTATTTATAACTAATTGCTAATATATATTGCTAATTTGTGCTAATTGGTTCTAATTAATGAAACAAATTTATACATAATTATTAATTAATACAATAACTTGTGATAAATTTTTAACAAAATTTGTAAACATAATAAATATCAGAACTAATTTTATTTGTCTTAACATATTGTAAATTTAATTATAAAAAATATATACATTTCATATAAACTGTAAAACTAAACCAACAATTAATATAATATCTAATATTGAATTAAAATCGTTAAACAAATTAACCATAAAATAAATGTCATTAAATCTCAACTCTCTTTCATACTATGCATATCGGAAATGCCATTCAAGAGGTCCTCATCGAAGATCTTCTCAATGATATCTTCGACAATAACCGTCGCATCGGTTCTCAAGAGTTCCTCATATTTCTCGAGAGGAATCCTTCGATTCAATTCCGTTAAGAACTCATTAACTAAACCAATCTTCAAGTGTTTCACTCTCTGTTCGTTGCGTTTCTCTGCCTTCTTCTCTTCGCACTCAACCAAAGCCTCCATTTTGGCCCAAATGTCGTCAATGCCTTCGTTAGTGACGGCCGAACAGCGGATAACAGGAGGTCTTTCGCCATAATTGATGAATTTGGTGGCCGACATAATCTCGGCCGACATCTTACGCGCGTGTCTCACGAGATCGCCATCCGATTTGGTCACTATTATAATGTCCGCCATTTCCACGATTCCCTTCTTAATGGCCTGTATTTCGTCGCCTCCCGACGGCGCCACCAATAGTGCCATCAAATCACACAAATACGACACCTCGTACTCCGACTGTCCCACACCTACCGTCTCGATGATCACCACATCATAGCCGGCGCTCTCACACAACGAGATGGCATTGCCTGACAAATACAATACAAAACAATACATCAATTCATTATCAAATGGTTTGCATTTAAAAAATCAATACAAGAAGTACTGCAATATCTCGGGTATAGTTCACAGAGAATACTAATTATACACATATTTATATCGGATTTAAGGGATTCATAACCGGAAATGTATTGTAAATACAATTAACGGGAAATATATAAGAAATGCCGACAAGTGGTCAAACATTAGGACAATTAAGACACGACTATAAACAAGCAAACTGTGAACGCACTGGTAGTCTGTGTGACTCCACCCATATATCCACTGCTAGGAGAGGGCCTAATGAAGGCCATGGGATGTCTGGAGAGACGGGCCATACGGGTCTTGTCGGCGAGTATTGAGCCGCCATTGATGGCCGACGAGGGGTCGATGGCTAAGACGGCCACCTTTTTGTCGTACTTCTGGATCAGATTCATGCCAAACGACTCGATGAACGTCGACTTCCCAGCGCCGGGACCTCCGCTGATACCCAACCTCAGCGTCTTGTGTCCGGTCTTCACGTTATGATCGTTAACTCTCCTCAAGAGTTGTCGTCTGAGTGGTGACCGTTTGCTCGACTCGACCAAAGTTATGGCCCGAGAGAGTGACGCTCTCTGGCCGGCGATCACACCCGACATCAGTTCCGCTGCAAACTTCTCGGCCATCACTTCTTCGGCGGTTAAAAATAGTGTACAAAATGAGTGCCGAAGAAAACAAAACTCAACACTGATTTCAATCGCAACTCATTTTTCGCAATCAATGTTTTGAAATCACTTTTTCGGACATCAATTACGGCCGCAATTCACACAACTCTCGCTTCGCGTTAACGTTGAACACAATATACGGTTACTATAGTAACAGTACATATGTATAGTTGCCAAGAGTTGGGCAGAGAGGGCGACACTGATTGGTCTATAATATTTGGCCAATTGATCATCACGTCTACAATAAAGCATAGGTGCTTCCAGTGAGGGGGTGTAGCTCAGTGGTAGAGCGTCCGCTTCGCATGCGGAAGGCCCGGGGTTCGATCCCCCGCACCTCCACTTTTGTCATTTTTTGATTATGCTTTTTATTTTTTTTTAATCTACTAAATATACTTCTGTTTAATTTATTGCTTGCGTTCACTTTTTTGTTGCTTTATTTTAGTGGTATTTATATATAATATTTTATTTTTTAAATATAATTATATCTACAGTTATAATGAGTTTTATTCACAATAAAATTCTGTGAAAATAATATATACTTTTCAAATCAAATACATAAAAGCTTTTTGTCATTATTTTTGCTGTTTTATATGTTTTGCTGTTTTATTATATAATTATTATTACATGTGTGTTATGTTTGTGTGATTTTAGATATTTTAATTTTTTGATTACAATCAGTCTTATAATCAATTTATAGTTGATTTGTGTTTGCGTTTAGAGTTCTCTCTCATCAAAAAAAAAATTTAATTCATATAATTTTTTACTTTAAAACAAAATTAAAATAAAATAAACAATTTTCATAACAAATCATACGAAATATAATAGAATTCGTTTTGTTGGTATGTTTTGTATTTATTTCAAACTCTTTCATATAATATAATAATTTTTATATATTAATAATTTATTCTATAATTTCTATTTTTATATAATTATCGTTATTATCGTCTATTCTATGAGTGTTTATAATGTAATCATTTTGTATAATGTATGTAATGTTGTGTAATATCCAATCGGATCCGCTGTATGTCGTTCACTGGTCACCACCCGATTCACTGGTTTTGCTGAATCCACGCTTCAGACCAGATATGACTGAACCGCCCATCTCTACGATCCCTTTGCCCGCATTCACTATCGCTTCACCACTTTGTTTCACCTGAATTCATATAAATCACCATGGTCAATTAATCGTCATTATTAATAGCATAAATCATATAATCAATTGCCAAATATTCACATCAAAAATATTTCGCATTTTACAGAATATTCTGGCGAAGAATGTATAAAATATTCAACATTTTCTGTTATTTCGTAAACTAATTTGCAAAGCATTTAATTGTATAGGGATTTGCTGTACTGTTTGGCACTCAATGTACGCAAAATGGTTTGCATTCATAATAAATATTAATACTAATAATAAAATAAAAAGAGAATAATAATATTTATGCATTAATATCAGATGTCTATATTTGAATAAAACTTTTATTAATATTATATTTTTATTACAATTATATTGCTATGGATTAGCATTTGTTTAATGCAATTGTTTAGCAAATATATTGCGATATATTTATTGCCTAAATATATCGATTAAAAAGCTATTGTATTGATAAACCATTTGAAATAAAAATGATTGATTAATTGTGGCATTTCGTGCCCTTTTTGGATCACATTCTTGATATTTCTTTGGTTAAAATATATCTAAATCTAGATTTAATTTATTACTTTCTACTTATAATTTGTTACATTTCATTAATTGAGTGCCAAATTCATTACATTATTAGCGAGAAAAAAACACTTATAAATAATTACATTAAACTAATAGACATTTTGTCCACAAATGCAATGCTATTCATGATAACAGAATCCATAAAGAATTAAATCAAAATAATCCCCAAATAAATAAGTGCTAAATAATTAGACAACTAGTAATATATTTGACTAAAACATGGTATAAATTGAATATAAAAACAATGATAATTACGGCATTGGATGCGACTTGTGATATATTGCCGACAGCACCAGAAGCAGCCCCTAAGATGCCTTCCCTGGGCTGTCCAGCGGCCGCGTCTGTGGCCTCCGCCGAGTCGAGCGACTGTTGTTTGTTGAGGTCATCGGATCCGAAGTCGTAATTCTGTGTCGTAGACATGGTTTCAATAATTTAATTATGGTATTTTTTAAATAATGCTATTATTAGCCGTTTGTAAAGCACTATAAAGTGGACACAAAATATTATATATATTTTTTAAGGATTTGATTCTCTCTATCACTCGAGAAGCGCAAGCGTTTGAATACAGTTTTGTATTGTATTGTATGACCGAAAATGACTGTTCACTCAATGTATTGGTTCGTACAATACTGTAGAGGAGAGGACTGGGATATGGGGTCTGTAGTGAAGGAATATAACGTGAAAATGCGAGCAAAAAATCAATACTTTTAGTTGTGATATAATGTTGAAGAGAAAATCAATTGCATACAGAATACAAGGCTTTTTGGTAGAAGTTTTTGGTGTGTATTTTGGTGTATTTCAATGGATATGTCAGTGCTATCTCTCGCTTCTCTACCATTAGATTCAAGCATTTTTAAAAACCTTTCATTTGCTTTCTTTAGATAAATTTATGAATAATAATAAATTTGTCAAAAATAACCCGAAAACAACATTTTAATGCAATTATAATTGGTTTTTGCATTAATTATTTATTGCAAACACTCATAAAGTGTATTAATAATGAATTTATACCTCTATTCCTAAATAAATCATTTGAAATATATTTTTTTCGAAACAAATATTAAACTCTCTTTTTTTAATAGCTTTTAAAACATAATGATAGTTTTTCCCTACAATACTATGTTATATGTTTTCACTATTGAATTATTCAACAAAATATTATTATTTGTTAAACAATATTTCTATGATATCATAATATCATTTTCAAATAACGCACAGATCTGTCTGTGATGTGAACCAAACAAAGTTATATTTATATATATTTTACCAAAAGTGTTGACAAAGATATTCCGGAAATTACATCTTCAATGCCTTATATTGAGTCCATTTATTGGAGTCAACGCTATCTAATAGATTGAGATTTGATTGCATTGATTGAGATATTAAGCGCATAAATATATAAACCCTTTCAGTGACAATCACTGCCAATACTGGTTGCATATTATCATCTAATCTATGGGTTGGACAACAATTTTTTGGCATAAATATTGCAATTTGCAAACATTGCAAACACACACAAACTGTGCAAATCGTTAATTTTATGCTTTGCATATCATAAACACTATAGTTAATTGCTTATAGTATGCAAACTGCATACACAAAAGCTAACTGTCCATTAAATTAAGTGCAAAATTTATCTAATAAAACACAATTCAAATTTCTTAAAGTTTATGATTCAATTGAGTTTAGCTTCAGAAGTAAATTTCCATAAAAGTTATCTACAATTTTGCTAAACATATTAAAAATATGAATATGTGTAACATTTTTGTTTGATTAAATTTTTGGGAAATTATTTCCAAAATTATAATTAAATCTAAAGCACTAAAAATGTAAGCTATTGTATGATTAAGTTTTTTCCATCTCACTCTCTTGTGTTAACTTAAACTTCACATTATATTGTGGTTTTCAGATGAAAACAGTGGTCCACAAGCAGTGGTAGTGTATGTATTAATACAATACTTTACTGTATATATGTTTGTGTTATTCAACACTACTGTAGTCTTTCCTCTCTATTGTTGAATCGCTTTTAAGGGCAAACTCTCTGAGAAGGCGAAGAAGTAATCAATAAATTAGTGGTCGATATAACAGGAGTCGGAGTCGTTGTGCGCCAACTCTTTGGCACACAATTCACCGATAAATGACGGCTTAAAACACTAACACATTAACTATAATCAGAAAACATCTACTTTTATAAATCATATAATTTTATTGACTATAACTTTTGCCCCGAATTTTTCTCACAATTTGTTCACTTTATATATAGAACTGATCTATAAATAAGATTTAAGACATAATAAGACAATAAGAAATATAGTATTATTTTCAGTTATGTGTTCAGACAAGTAGTCAATAATGAAATAACACAAAAAATGTTAACCAATTTCAGCCAATCTTCTCATTTGTAATGAAATGACTGTTTATTTGTCTTCACTATTAGAATCAATCAATGGTTTCATTGGTTCTCACTTTTAATTAATGAGATTAACACCAAAACTCTGTTAAGCAATACATGTATTATTAATGCTATCAAACCAACCAAATAAACGTTTACTTCATTTGCAAATTATATTTATTTAATTCAAATTAATTAATAATTCACAAAATTCCAATTTATTTACTATATACCATTTATACTGTATACTTATTTATCGTATGAAAATTTAATGTTATACAGTATAACACTACAGTAAATCAGTTGTAAATAAAATCAAAAACGTTGCGTTTGTTATCCTTCTAGTAATTAAAAGACATTAATTTAAAGTTTAATTAAATGTTTTCAAAGACAGTCGTAAAACACAGTTAATCGATATCTTAGATAACTTATAAATATAAAAATTAATTGATTATTGGACATAAATTTTTGAAAAAATATAATCGGATTTAAGACTTTTAATCAAAAATATATATTTTCCTCTCTTTTCGATCACATAATAGTTTAACTAATGATTAATGCGATTGAGTTTATGAACAAAAATTACAGCAAACAAAGTGTGTCTGATCTGTGATTGAGATTAAATGTCTGGCATTGAGACACATATATGGACCGAGAATTAGACATTGATTTCTTAAAAATTATATACCAAGTGATCGGTTATGAGCCAAAGTATATACCCATCAAAGTTGGCACTAAAGTTAAAGTGGTTTAAAATTAGCCATATTTTGATGGCAACCCTTTTTCTATGTCAATGAAATTTAATATAATGCCTTAATTAATATATTATGTTCACAATGTCAACACCACAATGCAATTAAGTGATCAAGAATTTTGTAATCTTATATATATCCTCTCTCTCTCTCTCTCTCTCTCTCTCCTCAACTCTCAATAACATTTGGTTGGCCTTTAAAGTAAAAGTCAATTGTTTAATTAAAAACTATTATAGTTATAATTTTCAAAAATCGTATAATTGTTTGAATTAAATTGAAAATAATGACTACAATAATAATGAAAATACTTATAACCCATTGAATGCTTATTCTCTCAATATTTAAAACATAAATTCAAATGACTTAAGATTTTCGTTCATTTGAGTGCTTCTGACCAAACATTTTTCAACAATAGTTTTTCAAATAAAAAAATATTTGCTTTGATTTTGTTGCCAACAAATATATTTACTATTTGACACATAAATATGCGATAAAATTCTGTTGGCATCAGATTTGATGTAATGTTTTAAAGTCATCATTAGATTTGAATTTATGATCGAAAGACAGCAAAGAATTTCTAATACATTTCACTGGGATTTTCAACATTTATTATTTACTATTACAGTACTGTCAATGAGAGAGAATGAATGAATGTAAGAGAGAGAGAGAGAGAGAGAGAGAGTGAGAATAGACTGAGAGACGAGTCTTTACATGAATAACAAAAATCATGTAATGTTTTCTGAATTCAATTTCTTCTTTTTCTACATCTTTTGTTGAAAAGACAACAAATTCTTTATGTAATAC